TCGGCAACTGCTAATATTACAAACTAATTTTGACATAAATTGTCATCGTATGGATTAATGCTACAGGTTCGTGAAAGTTGTCAAGAAATATTGTAAAAAAAAAAAAATCTGAATGCATTGTATATAGCTCATTTTTACACCTGTTTCAGCTTTAAATCAAAATGATGCAAATGCAAAACCGAAATAAAAAAAACAAAACAAAGCAAGACATATTTTGCGTCTTTAGTATGAGCATTCATCTTGATCTATTAGATTTGTAAACATTAATATTTGCTTTTTAAAAGACCTTTCGACACGTCAAAATTGAAGTTTTGGGCAAAATTACGTCACTTCCGGTGCCGTCAGAAACTTTTATATGTAGAAGTAAGTTGAGAATTTGCACCAGGTGGGCTTTTCTTTTACACAAATAAGGCAATAAATAATTAACCCAGAACCCATACACGGAAATTAAAATGCGAAAAATCTTAAAAAGTGATCCTGACAAAATTGGTTATTTCTCGGCAAGGGAAGGTGTTAGAAACTATTTTGTGATATCAATATGATCGTATTGATTGATACTATTTGTCCATAGGAATCAAATATCATAATTTTACACCAATAATGAATATCGCTTACTTCAAACAATGACTTGTTTTAGAGGCTAAAAATAAAGTTTTTGAAAAACTGACGGTACTTCCGGTGATAATGAAAATACTAAATTACTTGTATGAAATCGTAAATGGCGTTAGGTATCACACAGTGAAATTTTTTATGAAAATCGAATAATAATTGCCACTTGTATGGACCAAAAACTTTGAAAAGTGACCTGCTGAAAATCGCCTATTTCTCCGCAACTGAACAAGTTAGAAAACATGTTGTGATATCTATATGATCATATGGGTTTATTCTATTAGTTGATTGGAATCAAATATCATAATTTTGAAAACATTACAAACCAGACTCGTTTGAATAAAATATCTGTTTTGAAGGCTATAAATACATTTTTGCCTAAATGGCGCCATTTCCGGTGACATTGAAAATGTTAAATTGGTTTGAACTAGTCAAAATTGACATTACGCATCAAATAGTGTCATTTTTATGAAAATCCAATAATAATTGGCTCTTTTACAGGCAAAATAGCGTAAAAAGTGACTCATGCAAAATTGGCCATTTCTCGGCAAATACTCATATTACAAACTAATTTTGACATAGATTATCTTCGTATGGATTTATGCTACAAGTTTATGAAAGTTGCGAAGAAATATTTTGAAATATGAAAAGCTTTAATGGGTTGTAAATAGCTCATTTTTACACCTTTTTTCACCTTTAAATCGAAATGGCGCAAATACAAAACCAAAATTAAAAAAAGTGAGTTAGACATTTTGTGCGCCTTTTGTAGGGGCATTTATCTTGATCTATCAGATTTGCAAAAATTAACATTTGCTAGTGAAAAGACGTTCCGACTCGACACAATTGGAGTTTTTAGCAAAATTGTGTAACATCCGGTACCGATAGAAAACTTTACCGGTAATAAAAAAATTGAGAATTTGCACCATGGAGCATATGAACTTTGTTTTATAAAAATCGGGCAATAAATAACTAACCTAGAACCGATAAACTGAATTAGCCAATAGCGGTCAAAAAGAATTATCGAGACAAAAAATGTTCACATTTTTGATCAAAGCAGACGACCCCTTAACCCTGGGTAAAATGCCGTAAAAAATTATTCATTAATAAAAAAGTTTTTTGTAAAAATTTAAATCTTCAAAATTTGGCGCCTAATATCTCCGAAGATTCGTCGAAAATCAAAAATCTAAACTACCGTAGCTATGTGCCCTGTCTCAGGCTATGTCAAAATGTATCCAATGTTAAAATCCGACGATTATTGTTAATATTACTGCAATATTTCAAAAAACGACAACTTTGGCGTTTCGGACATTTCGCATAGTCGCCGAAGGTTCGAAATAGCTTTAATCTCTAAGTCACACCCACTTTCCCAGTAAAACCTAAGACATCGAATTGATCCGATAAGTAGTTTCTGAGATATGCTCAAGTGGAAAAAAAAAATAATAATAAGAATAATCTTAACAAAAACAATAGTGTTTCACACAAGCTACGCAGTGTGAAACCCTAATAAAATAGAAGAATAATTCACAGTGAGCAAATTATACAGGCACTGTCATGTGGCTAAACTCATAGATATAATTATTGATTGTGTGTCAAAGGTCAAAGTGAAACAAACTGTGTTTACAACATGATCATTCGATAAAATATATGCGCCTAAACATTGCGGGCTAATATTTGAGAGAGAGGGGGGGGGGGGGCGGCGGAGAGATTTAACGTTCAATTGACACAGACTGGCTGATATCTGGACTAACATATGATTCAATTTTATTTTATTCACTGCTTCGCTTGCGCGTGATAGTCTTTGGCAGTGGGGAAGTAAAACGTCTGACCCGGAGATAACCTACGAGGTTGGACGACCCTACTCCGGGGAATCGAAACCACGAAACTTGACTCAGTGGCATACATTATGATTAAACACACACCGTTTGACCACCCAACCCGACAAATAATATTAAAATGTAAGATAAAACAGTAGTCAGTCAACCCATTTTTAAATGTATAGAATATATAGCAATTGTATATCAAGATTTTAATTCTATTGTATGAAATAATAGAGGTCATTTCAATCTGAAAGCCTATTGTAATTACTAAAATTATTAAGATTTCATTGGAAAACTTCTTATTCCTGTTAAGATTATTATTATAGAATCTTTCTGAAACGTTGACCTAACACCCCCCCCCCCCCAAAAAAAAATAAAATGGGTGGTGACTTTCGATTAAATATATTTTCAAAACGTTTTAAGAATCCGAAATCACCGAATTTTACGAACGAAAAATCATTTTCACCTGCAATTTCCGTTTTTTGATTTCAAAACATCGTCGCTTTGATTTTGTCCCGGAAGTTGAGTCGACTTTCATAGCTTCTTTAATATTAGCACGATTTCCATGAAATTTGGAATGCAAGAAGTTCGGACCCATGCGACCGTTTTTCTTTTAACTTATCTCCCTTTGGAGAAATTAAGGATCAAAGTTTTCAAAACAATTGGCAAAAAGTAGGTCAGATTGCCTTGATTTTTTTTCTGTACTAACTGATGCGTTCACAAAATATGAAGTCTGTAGATCGAACAGGAAGTGTCTCCATCTTAAAACGTATAGAAGGCTTTTGCGATATTTTACGTAGAGACATGGGAGTTACATTTTCTGAATCCCTGAGGGAATGCCTAAAAACGTGCAGAGTTTTGATTTAGGTCAACTGGTGGTCACCATTTCAAATTTCCACTTTGACGTTTTTCATGCCGCCAAAATTGTTTACGATTGAAAAATCCACATTAACGGCTTCGAAATACTCGGAATAGGCCGTCGTTTCGTGAATTTGTCTCTTATTTCCGAAATTAATACATTTCTGGTTAGCCTCCTTCCAAAGATGGATGGTGGCTTTGGACCGAATATATTTTCAAAATGTTCCACGAATCCGAAATCACCGAAATTTACTACATAGTTGTAACTTTGTGACCTATTTCACTAATTCTTTTTTTCTTTGAGTAGTTTAAACCATTTGCTTTAAATCTGTTATTTCCGATTTTCGAATTTCAAAAATTACCTTCATTGACATCTCATCCCAACATAACAACTTCTTAAATATTAGTACGATTTTCATGAAATTTGAAACGTAAATAGATCTGGATGATCCAACTTCAACGATATCATTAGACATTTTCTAACTACCCCCCCCCCCCCCCTTGGAGAAATTAAGGTTCAAGTTGCCTTGAATTCTTTTCAACTGTACTAGCTATGTGTACACAAACTATGGAGTTTGTCGTTCGAACCGAAAGTGCCATTATTTTCAAACGTGAAAAATCCCTACGATTTTTGCGATATTTAACTTACATACATGGGTGTTACATTTTGTTAATTCTCGAATCAATGCCCAAAACACGTTCAGAGCAGAATTTTGATTTAGGTCAACTGATGGTCACTATTTTGAATTGAATAAGAAAAATAGTGAATAATTGCCAAACGGGCGTTAAAATAAACAAAATAGGCCGTAGTTTGTTGAATTGGTCTCCTATTTCCAAAAATGAATGCATTTCTGGATAGCCTAGACCAGGGTCCAATTTGGGGGATTTCAAAATTTCGAACTTCGCCTTAGACGTTTATCGTGCCGACAACGTTGTTTACGAGTGAAAATTTCAAGAGAGATAAGAGCGATATAGGCAACATGGCGAAACACCGTGTTTACATTGACAACGAATGACGACGTGTGACAAAATACTGCCGTGTACCTCATTGAACTCAACTTACGAGCGATGAACATTACAGCTTAATGTGGCGGACAGCAATAAATAGAATTGAGGCAAAGATAAAGAAATTGTTGAAGCCGGGAGTGAATTATGCTGTCGTCTGAGAGATCACTTTTCTTCAGTTTCAAAGTCACGTTATTAGAAGCCTATTATGTAAGATCTATTTTATTAGTTAAGGTACTGTTATTAGGCATTAATAACCGAATGTAGACTGGTGTTACATAGTTAACGTACTTATATTTATTATTAAATTGGTGCGTGAAGCCTATACTGTCACTGCCTAGTTACGAATTATTTAGGATACCTGAAAACGGTTTTAATTTATTTATGAAAAATGTTTCGTGTTTTTCGGGAAAGTGTTTTCATAAAAGATGGCGTTTGATAATGGTGTGATAGTCCTGTGTGCAGATATTTGTCAATAAAGATTTGAGTTGAGGAACACCCCCACCTCTCCCCCATCACACACACAACAGAACGCTATGTTTTCTGACCATTTCTGAAAAAGGGGTTTTAAAATATATATGTAGCCTCTATCATTTTCACAAGGTTTGCAGCGGGGTGGTCAGTAGAACGGATGAATGCGGAATGCTCAATATCGATAGGACTCATCTATGACGAACGGCTGAACCAACTATATATTTTTGACTTTTAACATCATATAGTATATTTTATTATTAAAAACTAATATTAATGTAATAATAATAGTAGTACACTTTTAACGCGCTAAATTCCATACATTAAGTACATGCTCATAGCGCTACACAAAGTCTGATGACATGTTGGTTTATGTGCTATAACAGTTTTATGTCTCATAGTATTCTTTAAACAAGTGTGTTTTTAATAAACTCTTGAATTGCAATAAAGTTTGTGCATCTTTAACTTCTGATGGTAGTTTATTCCAAAATGTTGCTGAGATATTCTAGAAAGATCGCTTTTGGGACACAAACTAAGTTTTGGTTAGCCGATCGTAGTGTTCGGCTAGGGTGATATTTTGAGACTAGTTCCGATAGATAACTTGGTGCGGTTTGGTGAAAACCCTGATATGTGAATAAGAGAATTTTAAATTTTACACGGGCCTCCACTGGGAGCCAGTGAAGTTCTCTAAGCACTGGCTTTATATGTGAACACTTTCGTCACAGTTCTCGCTGCCATGTTCATAGTCCGTTGATTTGTTCTTTGGGCAAATTACCCAAAAGACTGTTACGATAATCTAATCTTCAGAGCACAAAGAATCGCACAATGTGGTGAGCAGCGTCTCTTGAGATCAGATATCTTATGGACCCTATGTTACGGAGGTGAAAGTGACAAGTGCGATTAATGTTATAAATATGTTGTTCCATTGATAAACTTGAATCCAGGTGGACCCCGATATTTTTTACTTTTTTGAGAAATCAATCTGTGATTCTCCAATACGGATGGATGCATGATAAACATTCGCCATTTTACTATTCGTTCCAACTAGCATGGCTTCAGTTTTTGAGGTTGGAAGCGGACGTTAAATAAAGCTATTTCACACACAGAGGAATTTCAGTGAGTGCCCGTTTCGGGCTGGAATTTTTCGGGCCAGCTTCGGCTGGCTCCCGAGCTTTTCCCTGCCGCCGCCTCGCCCGCGAGCTCTGCGGCGACGGGAGCGCGTCCGAGTGACCCTGCCCGAGTGCCCGTCTCGGAGTTGGAGAGAGATGCAGGGGAAGAGACGGCCGGGGCTGGAATTCCTCGAAACGGCCGATGCGTCGCGCTCTCGAAGAATTCCCGCTAGACATTCGACCGCCCCCGGATCTCGGCGACAGTTACAGAGACGAGGGACCCTGGCCAGAATGGGAAAAGGCGGAAAACGCCTGGGGGCTAAACATGTTAATCATTGAATTCGGCAATGCATGGACTTAGTTAAAATAGAACATATTCTGAAACTATAAAACAAGTTGCATCACTCTCTCCTTCAATTGGAATCGTGCCTCAAAGAACCGACCAATGAAATTAATTGGTGCTGCTTAGCAGAAATGTTAATCATTGAATTCAATCAAAAAGAGTTGTTATATCCCAAAGTCTTGGCCAATCAAACCGCTTATCGCTACTTAGACTAAGCCGAGAACTATCATCAGCCATTTTAGTCAAGGCATCATTAATATGAAAGTATACTCTTACCCAATTAGTTTTCTTGTTCCCAAAGTGCGTATCGCTGCTTAACCTTAGCGGAAAATGCTCTTCATCAGACTCCTTCACATAATTTACACAAACACCAGGTTTGGACAATCTGCCTCAATTAGACGGCGACTTAATGTGTCCCAACGCCTCGACCAAAGTGTTCACCAATCAGATTGATGTCACTAATGATGTCTATATTGATGCAATAAAGGCATACACCAAGTTTCACCAATGTCACTTAAATAGTCGCGGCCAATGAAATTGGTTATCGCTCTGCTTACACTAAGAAGAAAATGCTCGTGATCCAACTTAGTCAAGGTATGGAACTATCAACCAAGTTTGGTCATTTGAAAGCACCGACCACTCAAATTGCTTCATTCGGCTAAACTGAATCTAATAAACACCAACACCAAGTTTGAACATTTTGGCTCGTTTATAAGGACAATAATTGTATCCTCAAAATTATGACGGACGTACGAACAGACATACATACACACACATTTTAATAGTCTTCTACCACTACAATTGGATACTCATGTGAACAATAAATTATAAAGTTATAAACACCCTTAAACACAGCAATGCCATAGCGTGTAAAAATATATAAAGTATAAGTATATAATATGTGAACTAATTGAATATAAATTCTATAAACGTGATAAACGTGTATCAATCGATAATATTTATCTATTTTTGTAAAGAAAATCCATGGATTATTTATTTTATCAAAAAAAGCACTTTGTTAAAACACAATACGTAACATGATCTGCTGTGTGGTCCAAGAGATTATAAAAAGAATCCACGTGCGTGGCGATTACCAAATGTTTAGATTTTAGCTATTTTGGATAGCCCTGTTTATTACACAATTAGTTTCTCTGATTATTCTGTTATATACTATTTATTTAAATGAGCCTATTACATTTCGCGCGTTCTGACGTAATGTAGGCGCATTTGTCACCAGACACTTTACGGTAACATATTAGAGCTCTGGTTAATGCCGATTGATTTTGTTACGTCGTTATGTACTGGCTGTTAATCGGACAGTTAACCAGACATAATTTGGGACAATGTTTCAGTGGGATTAGGTCTAATCAAACGCAAAACTGCGAGGGGTATGACTAATAACGGAAAATATAATTGAAGCTAATAAAACTATATCCTCAATTGAGTGGTTTAATAAAAGGTTAATTACGTTTAAACTCTTCGACTAGAAGCGGAATACCAGCCGGTGGTACAAATATTGACAGCAACACCAAGCCGAATTTTTTAAGGCCTGAAATCCATGCTTCGGACTTTGCAATGGCTCTTCTGAATTGTTCCCGTCTATCTTCCAATTCCTTTTCTGCCTGCCTCCGCTCTTCTTCCGCTGCCATTTTTTCTCTCTTCATCTCTTCTTCCGCTGCCAGTTTCTTCTTCCTAATCTCTTCATTCTGCTGCTTCTTTTTTTGTTCCAGTCTCTCCTTTTCCTTCTCCAATTGCTTCCTGCTTTCCTCCATCTCATGATCCCTTTTTTTCAATTCAGCCTCAAATATTTGTTTTTCGTTTGCTAGTGTCCTTTCTCTAGCTATAGCTTCAAGGCGTTTCTTCTCAGCTTCTTTTTCCGCTCTCTCTAATTCTAAGCGCATATCTTCGAGTCTCCTTTGCTCTTCCTCCGCCTCGCGTGTAATTCTCTCGTGTTCAATTTTCTGTAGTTCTGTTTCTTTATCCTGCGCAATCTGCACCTGATTCTGCCGCTTTCTCTCCATTTCAATCTTCTGGTTTTTTGTTTCGATTTCCTTTTCTTGTCTTTCTCTTTCAAGTTCTAGATTTTTTCTTTTTTTTTCTATTTCGATACGATTCTTTTCAGCTTCCGATGCCATTTCCTCCTCAATTTTCTTCCTCCGTTCCTCCATCTCTTGGGATTTTATTTCGCGTTCTCGCTCTAACTCTCGTCGCCGTCCTAATAATTTCTGTTTCTCCTCTTCAATCTTTCGTTGTTCTTCCTCGTCCTTTAATCGTTGTTTTTCCATTTCCTCCTCCAGCTTCTGTGTTTTTTCCTTCATCTCTTCTTCGAGTTTGCGTTCTTTCTCATCGAGTTCCCTTTCTCTCTTATTTTTCTCCTCCTCTATTTGCTGCAGATATTCTTGATAAACTTTTTCAGCGGCTTCATACATGGCCCCTGTATAGTGTTTACCACCATTGGATTTAATGGTTTCTCTTACTGCGTGTAGTACATCTTCTACATCGTTTGCCAGATTTACAGGATCGGCATAATTATTAATGGCCACGCAACGACCGTTGCACTCTTTTATGATCGATTTTACTGTATCTGGACATTTTTCCAAAAACTGGTCAAGCGTAATTGCACTATTGGTCAATGCATCTTTTGATGTAAAAATACAAACTACAAAATTCATAACTTGTTCTCCGAAAATATGTTTCAAGTTATTGATCGTGTCGCGCTCTTCAGCTGTAAATCTACCAATGCTCATAACAAAGAAGATAACGTGTGGACCTGGAGATGAGAGATTGATGCAGCGACCTATTTCCGTTTCAGTTTCCTGATTAGACTTCCTTGTATCGAATAAGCCTGGTGTATCAACTATGACAAGCTTGTTACCATCTTCTAACATTCTGGTGCCAAACTCACATTGCGTTGTTTGAGAGATTCCAAATGGGGAAGATGCAAACGCCGTCTTCTGTAGCAGACTGTTTCCAACTTTACTTTTTCCTACTCCAGTTTTACCGACCATTACTATTCTTATTTCTGGAAATTAAGAGAATATAGATTGATTCATTTTTGATTTAAGGACGTAGTCAAAATAATGTAGAGAATTGTACCTACTGGCCAAACGATTACAATTAAGAATTATAAATCATATGTACTTAAAGACAGTGTTTACTGTGTATCTCATACCAATTTGATTCAAATTACTTCAGTCAGTTATATAGAAGGATAACTCGTGTTTGTCATTTTTGGCGTAACATCCCGTTTCTTCAAGTGTTTTATTACACATCTGCCGTAGCAATGATCTCTGTTTTAAAATTGTATGGAATTTGTTTAACCAGTTCTATTACACATGTAATAATGACTGACACCAAAATTGACCTTTAACCCCAGTGACTTTCAAAATGCCGCATTATCTTTTGTCAAATACACAGCAGTTTCTGGCTAGTATGCTTCAATTTACATTTGACTCTTTAATCTATTATTAGTTCTTATACTTCTACGTAGTATTAAAACTATTTTATTATTTTTAACCTTTTTAAGAAAAAGTAAATACTCTATACATATAAACTCTACATGTATACCATCAAAAAATATTTTACAGCAAGAGCTCAACGAATAACTAAAACTTTAGAAAATTTTATCGTGAAGTGACGTCATAGACGTAACAAAAACCATATTAAGACATCAGAGGAAGCTTTTTTATTTTTCAATAAATTTAAATGCAGCTTGAGTTTTGTCCAATAGAATGTGGTCTGTAACCTGCATGACCTAATTTTATGCTTAAGTTTCAAAACGGTATAATTTCTGAGCGTATTTCTTTCATTTTTGAAGATATCGACTTGAATCTTTCAGAATCCGCCATTAATGGGTAAATTAAATGATTATTGCCCTTCTAAAATCGATTTCATATAATAAACTTCTTTAATTTTTCATTATATAAAAAATATTTGTCAGTAGGAGTCGTCTTTCAACTTACAGTAATCTCGTCAAGTTAAATTTCAACGGAAGTGCCATCATTTTGAAAACGTGGGTAAATTTTTAAAATCTATCTTATACTACAATTCTTATCCGAGTTTCAATATATTTTTGAAAACCATTGTCAATTCTTAATCGATCGGTGCAATTAGAATTTTAATATTTGACCAATTGTTTTTTAAAGTGACGTCATTTTATTGAATTTTATTTTTGAAAAAGTCAAAAACCTTGAAATGAGGTAAAATGTTGATGCTTAACGATTAATTGAGTCATTTAGTGTTTATTCTGACTGTCTTACCAAACTCTGTTTGTAAACAAAGATTCTGTTCGACTTTAAAATCACAATGGCCATACAAAGTTAAATATTTTTGATTTAAGTCTTCAGTTCAGATTAAAAACAGACCCAGCACACGATGATACCTGACACTTGATATATAGTGCACAAGGGATGCCAAATTGTGTGAAATTTGCAAATTAATATCTTTGTAAATACTGACTCTAATAGAACCATTTTTGGACTGATATTCCTTTTAGAGATTCAACTTCACAATATTAATGTTTGAAAGAGATTAACAATCTCTCTGAAAACCTTCGGCAACTGTTATTACCACTCAAGCGCTAATTAATTTCAGGCTGTCATTAATACTACTCTTTTATTCCACAGAAGATATTGTCTATTGAATATATAAGGAAGGTAATGCAAGTTGTCTATTGGTCTTATATGGGCCGTTTTATCTATAAATTTGAATTCCATAATTATATACTCTGGTATGAGTCGTGCTCAATAATTGTGAAAGACAAAAGACAAAAAGCTTTGATTATTTGTATTTTCCCCAACGGAAAATTTTTAAATTTCAACTTTTCTAAAATCAGTTCTATCGATTTTATAATTTTCTCAAAGTTTAGTTTCTTTATAACATCCAAATTGTTAAACTATATTTATCCCAATTTAATTTTGAGTTTAAGTTTGATAAAGGCTACTTGAATTCAAGTCAAAGGTTTAAAATTTCCAGAAGATGACACGCCGTTTTACATGTTCGTACCTAGGACGTTAAACCACCAGAAAATGTGTAGCAGAGTACGGTTAAAATAGTATGTTAGGCTACATTGATAAAACCCAATTAATTTGTGTTCTAATTAGCATTCTTCGTTTACAATTAGCTCGTTTCCAAACGAATCTATCACCAGCAGATAACGAAAAGAAGATGCCATCTAGATTCCAGGCCGGTAGGCGAACTCTAAATTACTTTTGGGCATGTTCACCCAATCATTTCATTAATAGCTTGGTGTCAGGGATATCAAAGAAACGAACTCGTTCCGGTTAGAATAAACCCCGATTAAATTCATAAAACTAATTCGTAATCTCAAGAGGGGTTAATATTGCGATTATCAACTTCAAACGAAATAATATCGTTATCCCGGAAATATTACAAATGCCACAAATTTAAATTAATAGTGTTAAACAAGCAAATTGTGATGATCTGTTATGGAATAACCCCACTGAATAAAATAGCGATGGTTACTAGACACCGATGCTGGTTCAAATAACATTTATGAGCTTCGGGTCCATAAATATGTAAGTCCTTAGTAAGAATTAATTAGTAAATACGTACCCTTCAAATCGTGTGAGGAGGCGGCCATCGCCTGAAAGAATAGAGAGGACACGTGTATTTTTGTTTGTTGGAAAATCAAAGGATAATTATTTAATTCATTGGAAGTAAATATTTGAAGTTACTTCTGTCTTCAACCCTCGCGTGAAATATTGCCATGTGTTATTCGTCCTGTAGAAAGGAAATATAGGTATATTCACCTCTTCTGTTCCAAACAGATTGTTGTTCCATTATGCCAGGGTTTTACTACTTGAAATACGAGCGTAGATCAACATAGTCCTTTATTCGATTGATCAATCTCTCTATGGTTTTGCAAATACAGTTAGTTAAAGCAATCAGACGATAGCTGGTAGGATTTTTATGATCTTTACCTGATTTAGGGATGGGAATTATTGTGGCTTTATGCCTCGAAGGATAGAACCATCAACCCAAATCCGGTTAAACAGATCTAATAAAATTAAGAGAGTTTGAATGAATGAATGAATAAAATAGGGTTTTATGGCGCCAAACATATTGTGATTCTTTCGAGACAAGCTAAATCATATCAAAACACTTTGTGTGCATAAATTAAAAACAATATCACAGTATATCAAAATAGTTAAGCATTTCTCAATATAACCTAGGTTGGGCAAACAAGTGATGTGTGACTGACAACGGTAATATTGTGACCTTGTATCTTTGAGATGCTTGCACTCAATCAAAATGTGTTTAACTGTCAAGGGAACATGACAGTGTTCACATTCGGGTTGAGTCTCGTTTCAAGATGAACATGTGTGTTAAAAAAGTATGACCTATGCGAGAGCGTCACAAAACAACTTCATCATCAGAACCTGATAAACAAACTTCAAATTATGCAAAACACTGCAGTCAGGATCCTCTGCAGATCTGACAGAAACTGTCACATTACACCTGTTATAAAAGAACTTACTGGCTACCAATCACCCACAGAATCCATTTCAAACTCTTGTGTATGGCCCAGAAATTTTTTAATGAAACAGCCCCAGAATATCTTAGTTCAGTGCTATCTGAATATAACCCCAAATGCACCCTAAGGTAAAATATCATCACCTTCTAACAGTACCAAGTTGTAGACTTAAATCCTTTGGGTGTTCAAGCTGTTTATTGTTTGAAGCGAGGACAGAGAATCAGTAAAGATAATGTGCTGTAATAGATGCGATGATTGAATGAACTCCAATGCCTGAAGAATGGCATGGAGTTCAGCTGTAAATATTGAAGCAGCAGGTGGAAGACACACAGAAATAGTCTCAGATGGTGTCACAGTAACCAAAGCTACCCGATCACCATCTTTAGAACAGTCTGTGTAAATAGGAGCATATTCATCATATTTAGACCTTAGCTCTGAAAATAGAGACTGAAACACCGTGGAGCTTGTATCTGTCTATTTTTGTTGTGTAAGATCGAAATCAATCTTTGGGGGAGATATAGCCCACGGTGGAGTCCTAAAGAAAGGGGTATTCGCAATACCGTCAAGGCTGATAGCAGACTCAGACAAAAGGGGTTGTATGCGAATACTAAATGGTGGAATGACTTTAGTCTTGAGCAGATATAAATGCTCATGGTATGGTCTAAATGAAATATGATTTGGAAGAGATGCGATTTTTGTAGCATACTGCAGGACCTTACGATCTATCAATATGTTGAGGTGGGGGGTTGGATGGCCGAATGGTTAGCATTGGCGCGTGCTGTATCATAAGGTCTGTCATTGAGTCAACTGGCGGGTTTTCGAATCCCCGGTTGTACGTGACAAGGAGTAGGGTCGCCTGTTCAACCTCGTGGGTTTTCTCCGGGTCCTCCGGTTTCCTCCCACTGAGCAAGCGAATTATAAAAAAAATTAAACCATGTGTTAGTCCCGAAATAACCTAGTTTTTGTCGAGTGGACGTTAAACCCCATTTCTCTCTCTCTCTCAATATGTTGAGGGCTTTCAGACATTTCTTTTTTAGGTTTTTAATGTGGGGGATAAATGATAATTAAATATTAGTCCTAGAAATTGGAAGGCGATTGCATCCAAGAACAGTTCTGGATCGGGATGCAAACCTCGTTTCTGACAGAAATGCATGCGGACCAGCTCAGAGCAACGAGGGGGGCGGGAAGTGTTCTCGGGGGTGCTGTAATATTGACGGTCAATGTATATCTATTTTTTATGGTCGAAAATTTTTTCACAGATGCCAAATCAGGGTGGTGATCAGGCGTTTTCCAGATATAGGGGGTCAAATGTCTACAATGGGGGGAGAGGGGATGTCATTATGTTGACATAATATATTAATAAAACATAAATTTCTAGGTCTGCCCATCTCTAAATAAGTGTTTATGATGCCCCTGGACATCTGTTTTGATAGGTATGGAGGGGGTAGCAGGTGTGCGTGTGTGGAGGGGTGGGAATAAAATTGTCGGGAAATATTAAATTGTAATGGTACTTTTCAAGAAATCTTGAAATGTAAATAAAAAACACAGTAACTCAGAGATATGTTTAGTTATTAGTTTATTCTTTGTCTTCATCAGAAGATTCAAAATAAAAAGTTTATATGAGCGAGATAAATAATTTCTTGGTAGCTGGCCAACAGCCCGAAATCTCTTTGGATATGTTTCACAACCAATCCACAGTGTAAATCTTCATTCCAGCTATGAAGCAAAGGGCCACGTATACGGCACGGTGATAATAAAGTAATGTCTTATTTTTTCACCCAGAAAATCTTTTTTCTAGCGTCATCTACTGATGTAAGTCGCCTTTCGCAATATTTTCTACCTTTGCCCGTCTCATTATTGATCAAAATTTTTATATTTGAATAATCGTTTGCGAAGAGAATGATTGGGATGTCTATTTCGCCCGGGCAAAATATAATTTGTTTCAGCACCTCCATTAATTTGCAATGCGAAGAGGAGTAGAATGAACTCCGGGGCCTGAAGTATAGCCTGGAGCTCAGCTGTAAAAATAGAAGCTACAGGTGGAAGACGCACAGATATGGTCTCATATGGCGTCACAGTAGCCGAAGCTAGGCGATCACCATCTTTCGAGTATATATAGGAGCATAATCGCCATATTTAGACCTTAGCTCTCGAAAGAGGGGTTGAAACACCGTGGAGCTAGTATCTTTCTTTTTATGTTGTGTTACATCGAAATCGATCTTTGGGGGAGATATAGCCCACGGTGGAGTCCTAAAGAAAGGGGTATTCGCAATACTGTCATGTCTGATTCCAGCTCCAGACAAAAGGGGTTGTATGCGAATACCAAATGATGGAATAACTTTAGGTTTAAGCATATATATATGTTCGTGGTAGGGTCTAAATATAGTATTATATGAAATATGATTTGGAAGTGATGCAATTTTCGTAGCATACTGCAGGGCAAGCTTATCACGTCTGTTGTGCAATGAGGGCCCGTGCGTCTAGACGTATAAACTATGCACTGGAGATGTACGAAAGGCTCCTAGTCCTTGATTGTGTATGGCGTCAAACTCTTTGGGATAAGACTCGCGGCCTGACCCATACACAATACACCCATAATCGAGTTTAGATCTTATTAAAGACTCTGAATATGTTGAGGGCTTTCCGACATTTCTTCTTGAGGCTCTTTATATGGGGTATAAATGATAATTTCTTTTATCAAATACCAAACCTAAGAATTTCGTTTCGTCTACAACTGGAATGGGATTGCCATCAAGTGTAAGCTCCGGATCAGGATGTAAACCTCTTCGTTGACAAAAGTGCATACAGGCAGTCAAAACTGCAAACTGACGTTCGATTGTCTGCATACTTGTCGATCCGTAACATATATGAAAATCATAAACATAAAGAGAGCCGTCGACCCCACGTTTAAGGCACGCCGGTATCGTATTAATTTTAATAGAAAATAGTGTGGGAAAAAATATACTTCCCTGAGGGACTCCCATTTCCTGTGGATCCGTAACACATCTGAACGTCGTCAACACAGAGTGCCGTCGACCCCACGTTTAAGGCACGTCGGTATTGTATTTATTTTGATGGTAAAAAGTGTGGGAGATAATATACTTCCCTGAAGAACCCCCATTTCTTGGGGAAATGGGTCAGAGAAAATTGATCCCAGGCGTACCTTAAACGACCTATCTTCTAGGAAATTGGAAATAAAGATAGGCAACCGACCTTGTAAACTTAAGTTATGGGAGTCACGCATAATCCCATATTTCCATGTGGTATCGTACGCTTTCTCCAGATCAAAGAAAATGGCAACTAAGTGTTGTTTCTGGATGAAAGCGTCTCTGACAAACGTTTCAAATCGAACGAGCTGATCAAGAGTGCTCCTTTGGGACCGAAATCCACATTGAAGGTCAGTAAAAAGGTTGTTGGACTCAAGGTACCAAACAAGACTTCGATTGATCAGTCTCTCCATGGTTTTACAAATAAAGCAATAGTTGGTAGGATTCGTATGATCTTGACCCGGTTTAGGGATGGGAATTATTGTGGCTTCACGCCAGGTAGGCGGGAATTTCCCATCAACCCAAATCCGGTTAAAAAGATCCAATAAAATTAAGAGAGTGGAAAAAGGTAAATGTTTTTGGTAGTGTATTTTATCTGGACCAGTTGCAGTATCTCGAGCTCGCTTAAACGAATCACGGAGCTCTGCAATGGAGAAGTTATCATTGTAGCATTCATCATTGTGGGACTTGAAATTAAGTCGCCTTTTCTCCTGTTCTCGAAAGTCATCGGAGGAGAAATTTGATGATGAATTGAATGAGATTGTACTGGCCAGAGAATTTGCAATATCAGGAAAGGTTGTTAGGGTGGTATTATCAACATTTAGATGGTTGACTGATAATGCACTACTTTTAACTTTAGTCCGACGAATCCTATCCCATACCGATTTGGAAGTCGTGCGGGAATTTATTCTTGAGACATAACCCTGCCATGAAGACTTCTTTGCCTGGCGTATGGTTCTACGGGCCTTCGCCCGGACCATTTGGTATGCAGCAATATTTTCCATTGAAGGGTGATTCTCGAGTTGTCTCAAAATACGATCACGCTCTTTAAGAGCGGATTTG